CTCTCTCTCTCTATATATATATATATATACACATAGCTTCAGATACCAGACCATTGTAGAATGTCAGTATACTCCTAGCCTTAGAAAATAGACCATGTAGCCTGTCAGAATTTTGTACTTGAGACATTTACAGACTTAACAATTTTACACTCATTTAACATACTTTCATATAATCATTCTTTTCAAAGTATCGTGTTCAATCTAATATTTACGTAGATAATTTTATATTATAACTGACTGTGAAAGATAACATGGTACCATTACATTGTGCATTTAATTGTGTATTGGATTAGATTTGTGCATTATAATTTTAAATTTTTGCATTTGATATAGATTTGTGTTTTAGAATTTGTGCATTGGATTGTGAAATTGGTACCATTGGATTCCTTGCCCCCAAAGCATACATTTACACATCAAAATGAAGTTAATAGTAGCATTTGACTCAGAGATAATCGCAAATGTAGATTTCAAATGGTGGCCGTTTTAAAATCCAATATGGCGGATATAAAGAAAAAATTCCTAGTGGCCAAATATCTGAGAATGTTTGCAATATGTTAATATATAAGTGTGCCAAATTTGGTGTTTGTATCACAAAATGCACATTCCTTTTTAATATTTGGGCTAAACCTCCCCATTAAAAATAAAACTGTCGATCGACTTGAAAATTAACAACATCAATAATTTCTGACTCAGCTGAAAACAGACCTAGCACTTTATATCATGGAATGCCTTTGAGCGACATTATGATATTATACGCTAAAGTGTCAGTAGTTTAAGTATCACTTTTTAGTAGTTTTGTTCTCGGGTTTTTTTTTGGTGGTAAGTGTTTTACGGCGCTCGCAACTGCATAAGATCATATGGGCGCACGAGACGCACCTAGCATTTTTAGTTAGAAGGAAATTTTGAATTTTGCCCGGGTGGGGGCCGAAGCCTACTCTTATCAATTTTGGATCACCAAGGGATCTTTAACGTGCGCAACGATTTTTCTTCCTTATCCGAGAAGGATAGGTGTAGAATTTACCTACCATAAGATCAGGGGTGTGGCTGAACGACAGCAGTAAGAAGGAGCAAAAGAAAAGCAGTAGAAAGGCTGTAGAAAGAGTCAAGAGCCCAGGGGTGGGAGTTAAGGAGGAGAGGAGGAGGTGGCAGAAAGTGGAGACAAAAGCAGACAACAGAACAATGCTAGAGAGCAGGAAACGACGTGAAAGGAGACAATTTTAGACAAGAAAGTTTACCGTCGTTATCCGGATTCGAACCCGGGACCTATTGAATGAAAGGCGAACAGCTTAACCTCTAGACCACAAGAGCCCCATACAGTTTCAATTTGGTCTGCGAGTCGCCCCCCCCCCCCCGCCCACCGGAAACAACGTAATTAATCATGAATGTGGTCCACGGTGAAATTAAAAAGAATATAATCATTTATGAAAATAAAACTGTCGTCCGACTTGAAAATTAACAACATCAATAATTTCTGACCCAGTTGGAAACAACAGATATAACATTTTATGTCATGAAATGCCCTTGGGCGACATAATGATATGCAAAAGTGTCAGTAGTTTAAGTCTCACTTTTGAAAGTTTGAGCATCGAGTATTTCAAGCGATTTCACCGCAATTTTCTCCTGTGTTTGCCCTTGGGATAATTCTGAATTATTGTATCCGACACAGACGTGAACACCCTTGCGAGCAGCGAAAAATTGCGCATGTTTTAAATCATATTGTCAAAAAGTTCAAAGGAGTTGTCCAAAAACCTGTTGGAAAATTGCGCAGGGATTTTCGGTATCGAGTATTTCTTAGGTATTCGACAAAGTATTGACTTGAAATTCTATAAGTATATTACGTTTAATTTGCTAGACCTCTTCCGTTAGCCAATTATCAAGACTGTTGTTTCATTGATATTTTTTTCAGGATAAAACAGGCTTGATATTTATTATCCCCTGCTCACCACGAAGACGGATTTCGAGCAGGATAAGGTCTTTATGACAGTACATTTCTTAAAAATCGCTGATTAAAATACTTGCTAAAAGTGGAGATAAAAGCGATATTTACAGTCTCACAGGAAGCATTTTTTTTGGCCACTTGTCGAGGAACTCTGCTTGTGTTAGCTGTTGACTCTGATAAGCTGTAACGAGCTATATATTATTGTAACCCCCCTCCCCCCCCACCCCCTCTCAGTGACTCAACCTGGTAGTAAGATATACTACTCGAACTGTTTTCAGTGAACACTCGAGGTCGCAACTCTTATTCGACCACAGCTACCTCAAAATCGATACCACACTCCGAAACCTGCGCAATTTGCCACCCATAGGAAAGTGGCTTATTAAGTAATCTGTTGCATAACATGGTAAAACCTGCGCAGTTTTCCGTTCCCCACCAACATTGACCTCCATAGGTAAAGTATTGTCGTCAATTTTGTTTATTCAGCTTTCCCATGATCCCACTCGAAACAGCGCGGAACAATTAGTTTTGTTTTATATCCAGAGTTTTACGGCACTTGCATCACAATAAGGTCATGTAAGTGCCGAAGATTAGAGGTGTTACAAGGGAGTAGCAAGCACAAAAATGAAAGGAAATAAGAAGGATAGATGTTTGGTAGGAAAGAAGGAGCAAACCCCACCAGAGCACTCGCCAACCACCCACTGTGGAACATTAGACGGATGTACTAGCCTAACAGTCTGGTGTTCCCGCTTGTCCCTTTACAAGGGTCTCAAGCTGGCGGTCCCCTGGCCAAATGAGGCCGTAGGACAATACTTAGCGACCCCAACTTGACATCAACATTTAGAGTTAGCGCGGCCAAAGCTTGGTCAATGTTTGGGAGAATGGCTTCCCATCTTCCCGGTGTTTTCCAGAATGTTCTCCTCGAGCAAGCCATGTGCCTTTGTGGTAGCTCGTGTTACGTATCTGTATGAAAAGTTCTTCCCCACCATGAAGTTTAATGCATCAAAATACAGCTCCAAACTCACTGATAAACAGCTTCAAACTCAAACCATAATATGAGGGCTCTCGAGGCCTAGAGGTTAAGGTGTTCGTCTCTCATTAAATGGGTCCCGGGTTCAAATCTGGATAGCCACGGACATTTTTGTTCTCTAAAGTGTCTCCTTTCATCTCCTTTCCTGCTCTCTGGCAATGCTCTGTCGTCTGCTTTCGTCTCCAATTTCTGCCCCCACCCCCTCACCTCCTTTGCCTACTCCTCTGGGCTCCTGACTCTTTCTGCAGCCTTTGTTCTGCTACTCCTTGACTCCTTCTTACTGCTGTTCTTTCAGCCACACCCCTGATCTTCTGATATGGAAGATCTACACAGAGCCTTCTCGAACAAGGGGGGAGGGGGAGATTGGGGAGTTCCCGTGTGCAAGTTGCGCACGTTAAAGATCCACTGATGGTCCAAAGTCGATAAGAGTAGGCTTCGGCCGCAACCTGGGCAAAATTCAAAATTTCCAACCAACTGAAAATGTTGAATGTGTCCCGCACGCTCATATGACCTTATGCAGTTGCGAGCGCCGTAAAACAATAACTTCTACACTAACGACAACGTCAACACAAGGACAAAAAGAACGATTCATTGTAACAAATGCAGAATCAGAAACACTAATTAACTTTCTCAGAGAAACACAAGGCGTTGTATTTTGTATGGTACCGCATATGGACTATTTATTTTGTATTTGCAACTCCATTGTTCAACTGACAAGTGCGATTCGAGTCAATTTGTACTAGCAGAAAATTCGTAAATCTTACGAAAATCGTGATAAAATTCAAAAGCAAAGTACGGCCGTCTTTCATCCTCTGTTATCTATTTCTGGATATTTCCGACGTGCTGTTGGTTGGGTTCCCCTGTGCGTGCCGAAACACTTCAATGGTGACCGTGGCATTCGCATTGATTCCAGAGACTGGCGTAGTCATGAGGACAACTGACTTCTTCCCACGTGACCTCGGCGTTGTCCCAGCCCAGACCGTTGAGAACTTGACCTTTGTTGTTCTGCAGGTCGAAATGAGCCTCGTAGCCGTGGTCGTTGACTTTGTCTGAGGAAGTTCAAGGATGCGTCACGTTGGGTGAAATGTATTCATTTACTTATTGGTTTAATCTAGGTGTTTTTACACCCACATGGGCAGAATCTAGGCTTTAAAAGTAGAAGTAATTTTGAAAGAAAAAAGAATTAATCCACAGATAGGAGAAAGAGGCTAAAAGAGCCCCAAGACATGGATGGCTGGTGCATCTATAAACAAATTATTGGTGGCCTGGTCAGTGCATAATCGAGGTCATTTAGGAAGCAGGATCCAACACGGCAGAGAGGAACACAATATCCTGGCATCATTACTGAGATAGTAGGACAAAAAAATTCCTTCTCACCAAGGACCTTACAACACCTTTGTGACCTCTGTGTACTTACTTGTTCCAGGCTTTCCGCTCTGGCCACACCAAACTCTGTTCTCGTTGATTGGACAGCTGTTGGTCACCATGAAGACTACGGGGGTTCTGTGCTTGGGGGCTTTGCCGTTGCCAGGAACGAATCCACCTAAAGAAATGACAAGTACGATTTAGAAATAATATTCTGTCGCTTTACTTGATCGCTTATATAGGCGTGAACAAAGGCTATCTGTTGATATCAATTTGTGAGGGTCCCCACCCCCCCTCTCTCTCCCTCTCTCTCTGTCTCTCTCTCTCTGTCTCTCTGTGTCTTTCTTATTGTCTCTGCCTGTTTCTGTCTCTTTGATTCTATTGTTAGCTCCCTCTCCCGCTCTATCTCTCTTTCTATCTGTGTGTGTATCTATGTAAGTGTACGGGTATAAGTGTGTGTATGTATGCCTGAGTGTGTGTGTTTGTTTATGTGTGTGTTTGTGTGTGTCTGCGTGCGTGTGAGTGTGTTGTGTGAGTGTATGTGTGTGTGTGTGTGTGTGTGTGTGTGTGTGTATGTGTGTGTATGTTTGTGCGTGCGTGCGTGCATACGTGTGTATATGTGTGTCTGTGTTTTTGTGTGTGTGTGCGTGAGTGGGTGTGCGTGTGTGCAATAACAACAAAAGCAGTAACACTCATCAGAAAAAACATTAAAAAAAAAACACCAAAAAAAACACAACAAAAACAACTAACCAGTAGGAGTAAGTTTGACACATTTTCCGCAGTTCTTGCCGCACCACTGGCTGTTCCCGCCATTGTCGTAGTACATCTGGTTAGGGGCGGTCACGTGTTTGGACATGTTCCAGTCGAAAGGAGTGTCTGTGGATACAGTCATGAAATATTCTTGCCTGTAATGACCGCCAGGGGAAATTCAACAAAAGTTAAGGACCATCTTGATAGACACCCTTGATTTTTTAAAATCCATTAAAAAAGACTGCGAGGAATGTTTCAAATTGTTTTGCTCTGAAAGTGTTCATGGGATACCAATGCGTACTGCAAAGCTTCCTAAAAGGCAAAACCACCACGTGCTGCACGGAAATCCTCGGGGAATTTTAGCCACATTTGCTCTTTTTTATCGACGTGTGTGCAACACCAGGGACATTCCTCAGTTAAAATTTCTAGCGCACGTCATACACAGACGTACGGTCTCGAACTGTGCTCACTTTGGTGGCAATATAAGCCGCCGTTTGCTCAAAATCCAGTATCGCATCAACATGCCATAAAGACGAAAGCTGGGAGACTTTGATGGTGCCAGAGCTATGGCATGGCCACAGGGTGGAATTGGAGCCCGAGAAGTTGCCAGACAGCTTGCAGTGTCACACTTTGTCATGGTCCACCTGAGGCAGCGCCATCAAGCAACTGGACCCAACCAAGAGCACCCACATGAAGGTCGTCCCAAGAAGACAACTCAGAGTGTTTGCAAGTGGTCCTTAACTTTTGTAGAGTAGCGTGGTGAAATCAGGTGTACTTCAAAAGGATAAAGTCGAAGAAATCAGTGTTTTACAGGCAGTTGGGCAGTTTGTGTCGATTTTTCTTTTTTTCGTTTTAAAATTTTGGCTCAACACCTATATGTCCATTTAAAAAACATATTTCTGGGTTGATTTTAAAGAAAAACGATGATCAAAAGCACAAAAAATATACGGATTCCATAGACTCTCAATCTTTGGAAATCGACATATTAGGTGGCCGTTTTAGGGGGTGGGGGTGTGGGGGCGGGTAATTATTCGTCTGACTTTAGGGACCACAGCCCTTTTCAATAGATACAATCTCAACTTCTGTTTAAGATAGTAAAATAGTCAGATATTTTTCTCCATCTAAAACAAGACAAAGAAACAAGCTTCATGATTATACCAATAACTCCGTATGCTCAAAAATTGACGAGCGCCTGATTCCACCACGTCGCAACCCATGATGTTGTTGATGTAATAATAGAGAGAGCTGCACTGGGTGTTCCGGTACCTCAGGCTCCTATACCCAACTCTCCACCATTTTTTTCGGATGTTGCTTCCTAAAATGATGATGATGATGATGATGATGATGATGATGATGATGATGATGATGATGATGATGATGATGATGATGATGATGATGTTAGGGGCGGTTTGTTAACTGGGCAAGACCGGCGGTGCCGGTCAGATTTTTGTCAACTGAACTGTTGACTAGAGGTTTATTGCTGATGCCGATTTTCATTCAGTTTTAAGTAAATCCAAACAAACATATATCAACATTCAAAAACACCTTGCCGATTTGAAGGCGCTCAAATAGACAAGTGATAATGTTGATGATGATGATGATGATGATGATGATGATGATGATGATGATGATGATGATGATGATGATGATGATGATGATGATGATGATGATGATGATATACAAACTTTATTTAGATACAAGAGGAAGAATACAGTAACGTAAAAGTATTAAGTTACGTAGAGAATTTCTCGTTTAGAGTGGGTGGCTGTCGGGTGCTCTGGTGTGATTTGCTCCTTCTTTCCAGTCAAATATGTATTGCCCTGATCTCTCCAACTTCTGTTTTGTGTTTGTTACTCTCTTAAAACACCTCTATTCCTGGGAACGGGTGGTTGGAGGGCGCCACTGGTAGACTTTACTTTTTTACGTTCCCTCTATTGCCTCTGTCTGTCTGTCTGTCTGTCTGTCTGTCTGTCTGTCTGTCTGTCTGTCTGTCTGTCTGTCTGTCTGTCTGTCTGTCTTACTTTTCCCCAACACTAAATGGCCATTATTGTGTCGATGTGCTTCTCTTTACTCAAACAGTAGCAAACCTTCGGCTCTTATATGACCTTATGGTATTGTAAGAGGCGTAAAACTCTTTCGGACATAATGGTGTTGCAAGTGCCGTAAAACTTTTAATGAGCTTATGGTGTTGCAAGTACCGTAAGACTCGTATTACTACTAACTAAACTCGTTTTGACACTCACCAGAGGCTGGTTTTCCGCAGCCACACGATCTATAAACCACGAGCCGCCACTGGTCTCAACCCTTTTTTATTCCCTGCTATTCACAATGATTTTGATGATGATGATGATGATGATGGTAATGATGATGATGATGATGATGATGATGATGATGATGATGATGATGATGATGATGATATACATGTATGCATATTTCTTTAGAATCATTCTATATCAAACCAGTATCCCACCATCACCTTCGCGCACCACCAGGCACCACCACGCACCAGACTGTGGTTCAGAGACCTACCACTGTTGGAAGGCCCGCAGCCACACGATCCTCTGTGCCCGTCGTTATACCTCGTGGTGCTGGCACACTTCTTGCCGTTGTATACCCTCACGCCGTGGCTGTTTGGCTGACATTTCTGCTCTGC